CTTGCTTATCTGTGAGCATTATGTCGTTACCTGAGTATTGTTGCTGACCATATCCATCTCTTTATGACCACAGTGTACCCATCTTTTGATGGTTCTTTCCAGCAGGATAACGCATCATATCATAAAGCGCGAATCATCTCAGACTGGTTTCTTGCACATGACAATAAATTCACTGTTCTCGAATGGCCCCCACAGTCACCAGATCTCAAGCCAATAGAGAACCTTTGGGATGTGATGGAATGGGAGATTCGCATCATTGATGCACAGCCGAGAAATCTGCAGCAAGTGCGTGATGCTATCATGTCAATATGGACCAAAATCTTTAAGGAATACTTCCAGTTCCTTGTTGAATCTATGCCACAAGGATTTAGGCAGTTCTGAAGGCAAAATGGGTCCAACCTGGTCCTAGTAAAGTGTACCTAATAAAGTGACAGGTGAGTGTACACTATGAACAGTCCAAATGCTAAGAAACACATAAAACTTGTGGTTAAAATAACAAATCCCTCCTTTACCCACTCAGTTTGTGTGGAAATATCACTTTAAACAAAGCTGCTAAAGTCAAGTAAAGAGCTGTGCGCCTTAAGTGCTAATTTCAAGCTTTTGTCAACTCTTAGCATAGCTACAAAACACAGTTTTCAGACAAGAATAGCATAGTCTTGTGAAGACAAAGACGAGGTGAAAGAGAGGGCTGTCTTTTGGAAGAACCTTTTGCTATCATAGCCGCAGCTACATCTCTCTCTCTTTTCTCCTAGCGTGAGCGCCGCCGCATTATGTCCTGCCTTTCTTGACGATTGTCTGAAAGACTATAATTAATCGGAGCAGAAGTGTGGCTGTTGACCTTTTCGCAGGTGATCGTCAGCATGGCTATGTTCGTTAATCGCTGAGCGATCACTCTCCTGACGACGGCAATTACAGATGAGTTGCCGGTGCAAGCAACGGGGGGACAGCCAACGCGGCGTGATTCATCCTCACATACGTTCTTCCACTCTCTCCCTCGCACACACACACACACGAATGCAGTATCTCCTTACTACACACAAATCAATCTCATGCTGGCCCTCTGCTGCACATTTTACCTGCGTATTAGCTGCCATTTGTCTGACATTAGAATAATAGTAGGCTGTGCCAGGCTTTAGTGATCATCGCCAGAGAACACACAGGTATCATTATTCCCCGCCTCCATCAGCCTCACCACTTTGTGCTAGATAGAGACAATGCCAAAGAACATCCTGTTTAGAGCTGCGCTTATAACAGTGTAATAACAATGTAATAAACTATATTGGCGTCACAAAAAAATAGTTTAATAAGGAAAATGTATATACGATTTAAAAATATGTATAATTACAGCACTAATTAGGGTTATTATGACTCACGTAATGAGAGCAGGGATTTTTTTAATAGAATCTGGTGTACTGATATAATCTGACTAATAATATGCTGGATTTTTTGGTCATTTTTGGTGCATTAAACAGGTAGAGGTACTATTATTACCTAAAACACTGACAAATATTACACTAGAGGAACAAATTTTAACATGAGAAGTTCATCCCAAAATTATCATCATTTAGTCATCCTGATGTAATTTCAAACCGATATGACACACTGCTGGTAATTTTGGTTGTCAGTAATTTTGCTCTGTACTCACATTGTATAGTAATTTATACAAGTAACAACTGCATTAAACAACTGAATCATCTTAGTCAAATGCATTTAAAAAAATATTGGTAATTGTTAACTTTTGGTTGTTTTGACGTATTTAAAAACGACTCAAACTCTTCTGTATGTGGCTATGCATGGAGCAAGAAATTACGAAAACAAGGTATTTACTCATGTCTTCGTGTTGTCATATTTTTCTACAAAAAGAGCAAATTAAAATATTTCCAAAATGCTTAATACTGGAACTACTTATATAACTAGTAGAATGACTATAGCGATTAATCTAACCTTTAATATAAATGTCTTTTTCACCTTATAATAACATTCAAAGCTTCTACTGAGGTTTTAGAATTAAGCTGTGCATGCTTGTCATCATATTGTACTATAATAAACCCTAAAAATATTTTTTGTTATATCCTATAATTGTGTAAGATTTACTACCTCCAAAGGTTCTTACATGACGTTTTTTGGCAAAAGAGAGAGCACATTTTTTTCCATCACAGAGAAAATGTTTTTGAAATGTTTTTGCTACTCATCCGTTTGCACTGGCTGCTAGTTGCTGCTCACATCAAATTCAAAGCTCTGATGTTTGCTTACAAAGCGATTTCTGGCTGCGCTCCTTCTTATCTGCTCTTACTTCTGCAGATGTATGTGCCCTCCAGAAACTTTCGTTTTGTGAATGAACGTCGCCTCGTGGTTCCATCCCAAAGAGGGAAGAAATCACTTTCCCGAACTCTCGCTTTAAATCTGACCAGTTGGTGGAATGAACTCCCTAACTGCATCAGAATGGCAGAGTCACTCGCTGTTTTTAAGAAACGACTAAAAACTCAACTATTTAGTCTCCACTTCCCTTCCTAATCTGCAATTCCCTCTCTGGCTCCACCGCTAAATGAACTACCAAAAAAAAAAAAAAAAAAAAAAAAAAAAAAAAAAAAATATATATATATATATATATATATATATATATATATATATATATATATATATATATATATATATATATATATATATATATATATATTACTAATGGTTTTGCTTCTTACACTTTACATACCTGAAACTTGCCTACAGCACTTATTCATTGTTGCTCTTATAGTTGTGTAAATTGCTTACTTGTCCTCATTTGTAAGTCGCTTTGGATAAAAGCGTCTGCTAAATGACTAAATGTAAATGTAAATACAAGTTTGAAAGTTCCATTTTTGCAATCAGACTGCATATTTGTGTTAGCAATAAGTTGCTAACAGAGGCACAGAGAAAAAGAAGCAGATGCTAAAATGCATGATGCATAAGGAATGAAAGACATGCCGAGGAAAAGCCAGGCTACTATAGTTTTATGGGTTTTATTTTAACAAAATTATTAAATTACAAAATATTTAAAAGGTCAAAATCACTGCTTCGATGGTTCTGGTGTTGCCTTGTGTAAACCTGCCTACTTACACAACTCCATAAACCAGATTGTTTTAAGCCAAAAAAAAAAAAGCCACTACCTGATAAAAGTCTTGTTGTTAATGCCAGTTGTAAGAGCAACAAATAATAACTCAACTTCTAGATGATCATTTAGAAAAGTGGCAGAAGGCAGATTTTTCCAATGCATTATCTGTTGAACTGCATCTTACTCACCACAAACACTGCAGAAGACCTGTTGAAACCCACATGGACCCAAGATTCTCAATCAAGTTTGGTAAAGAAAAAATCATGGTTTGGGGTTACATTCAGTGTGGGGGCATGCAAGAGATCTGCAGAGTGGACTATAACATCAACAGCCTGAGGTGTCAAGACATTTGTGCTGCCCATTACACTATAAACCACAGGACAGGGCAAATTCTTAAGCAGGATACGGTTTCTTCTTATAACCAAGCCTTCACATCAACATTCCTGAAAGCAAAAAAGGTCAAGGAGCTCCAGGATTGGTCTGCCCAGTCACCAGACATGAACATTATTGAGCATGCCTCGGGTAAGATAAAGGAGGAGGTATTAAAGGTGAATCCAAAAAATCTTGATGAACTCTGGGAGTCCTGCAAGAACGCTTTGTTTGCCATTCCAGATGACTTCATTAATAAGTTATTTGAGTCATTGCAGAGATGTATGAATGCAGTCATCATTTGCAACATTAATTCATTTCCCACTGCACCATGAATTTATATTCTATACTGTACATTATTTCTGTTAAGTGACAAGGCTTTTGTCTAAGCAAAGTCAGAAATTACTGTCCTAATTATATAATTAAACATCAAGGCATGATCGTAGTTTATTTTGGCAAAATAAGTGTAATCTGAAGGCATTTGCCTTTCATATAAGCCACTTTTGATACCAAATGATCAACTAAAAGTCAAGTTATTATTAATTGTTCCTTAAATTGTTTCTGTTTATCAGGTATAAAAAGGCCCTAAATTATGTCAGAACTTTAATTTCTGTGTAAATCATAGCTTAACAACTAAGTTAGCACTTAAATATAAATCAAATATAATGCAGGAGTTCCCAAACCATCCCAGATATCCTCAGGTAACATCAAAACCATGTGCATTACATAATAAAATCTGAATGTACCAGTAGTAAAAATTTACATCCAAATGAGCATAAAGAAGACTAGTGTAATACACACACACACACACACACACACACACACACACACACACACACACACACACACACACACACACACACACACACACACACACACACACACACACACACACACACACACACACACACACACACACACACACACACACACACACACACACACACACACACACACACACACACACACACACACACACACACACACACACACACACGCGAGCAACATTAAATTTACACAGACACACAATTGAAGAAAAAAAAAAAAACAATGGTTCCACATGTTCAGATCTGGCTAATTGAAATGTTTGTATTGCTCCACAATCTCTCTCTCTCTCTCTCTTCCTCTCCTTGCACAGGCATAATTATTTGCAATTTGCCTAAGACATCCATTTGCTGGGACGCCAAGCATGAAAAAGAGGCAATTTCTGAAAAATGGAAATGCCTGGCGGAGCTGGCGGAGGGGAAATAATGCAATGCCATCCGCAAGCTGATGGCTGCCATCTGATAAGCGTTACGGGCGCAGGAATATTAATGGCACATCACCGGGACACAAGGTGCACACTTTCATTGAGGGTGTAGACATATTGTGGCTGGAGATGCTACTAAAGTGTGAGATATGATATTTATTTTGTAATAGCTGCGAGGACGGCTGGTTTGGAGAGATTTGGACCAGGTGGATCAGGTTTGGGCTCGTTCGATGCACAATTGTGTGCAAGTGTCATCTCGGAAAAACTGACAGTTCAACAAAAGGCTCAACCTACCAGTCAGCGCACATCACCACGTCAAAGCGACTCTCCAGAGAAGACACATCAGCCTCATTGTCCCATCTCACCACCCTGAAAAAAAAAAGACAAAACCATCGTCATACAAACCCTCTTGCCCAATTTATCACTCACCCCTCACCTGACACTCGTTTCATTTCTTGCGCCGCTTGTCTAGCGGCAATCGTCTTCTCTCTTTTCTTTAAGTGCTGGGGCCGGTTTCCAGGCAAGCAAATCTGATTATTAATTAGCCATTATTAACAGTCAGTAAACAAAAATTACGTCTTGTGGAAATACAATCTCCTCTCTCAGCGGGGGTCCGTGCTGCTTATTCACTGACTTGAGAAAGCGAATCCACTCCCCCCCCCTCCCTCAACCAATCACACGCGACCTTCACCCCACTCAAACCGCGCGCTCTGACAGGAAGCCTAATCTCTAAAGAAAACAATCAAAGTAATGCAGGCTAATTATACGTTTACTCTTTCACTTCATCAGCCCAGTGTAAATACACAGGGAGGGGGACGTGTGCGGAGCAACAGAGAGGAGAGCAGACGAGAGGGGGAGAGAGTGGTTAGATCACTGAGTGCCAAAATTACTTTTTAGGTGATAATGCATTTGCGTGATGGTGTGCGCAGTGGATGAGCTGTGTTTTGGCAAATGTGAGAGAAGGGTGTTAGCGTGTGTGTGTGTATGTGTGTGTATGTGAGTGAGTTTTCTAGATGAGGGCGTTCAATCACGGAGAGTGGCTCATCATCGCTCCGCCTGGATACATCTCTGTGTGTTTGAGAGCGCGGCGCTCGCTCCACAGGCTGCCGATACCTTGTTATCGGGCCAACTGGGTTCAGAGAGTGACACGGAGCCTTGCGACCTCGCTTTTGCCTACTTATTGACACTATTATGTCCTGAACACAAGTGCTGTAAACGCCACTTTACCCAAACACACTTTCCTATACTTCATGGCGTGCTCGAATATGCACGTTGAGCGAATAATAACACTTGAATTTGTATTGACATAAGAGATGGACTTCATATGGCTCAAATGTAAAAGCAATATGTGGGGAGGTGCGAGAAAGATGTCTTACCTGCTTGACACGTTGGTAGACAGGAAGAGCCCTTCTCGTCTGTTTCTCTCAATTACGCTGCGCACATCTAAAAATCTTGGTCAAGAAACACAACACTGCTTTGTAGTTACTAAAGAACGCAAACATTTACAACACGAAGATGGATATACTTACTAGGAGTTGAATATTTGAACCCTACACTGCACATTATTTCTTAGTTTTTGTAGTAATAGCTCAGGAACAAACTTAATATATTATACATTGGATAGTTCTGGGTGCTGATTGGTTAGATTTTTTATAAACACACAGACAGACACACATAATGAAAGTCTTGGTGGTTTTGCCTGATATTTGGTGGCTGCTTCTCCTTCAGTACTCAATTCAAAACAAAAAATCAATCAATCAATCAATCAATCAATCAATCAATCAATTAATCAATCAATCAATCAACCAATCAATCAATCAATCAATCAATCAATCAATCAATCAATCAATTCATCCATCTATCCATCCATCTACACACTCACATCTAGCTATACTCACACTTTATTAGGTTCACTTTACTAGTACCTGGTTGAGCCTACTTTTCCCTTCAGAACTGCCTTAATCCTTCGTGACATCGATTCAACAAGATACTGGAAATATTCCTCAGAGATTTTAATCATATTGACATAATAGAATCATGCAGTTGAGGCAGATTTGTCAGCTGCACATCCATGATGCGAATCTCCCGTTACATCAAATCCAAGTTGCTCTATTGAATTGTGATCTGGTGACTGTGGAGGCCATTTGAGTACAGTGAACCCATTGTCATGTTCAAAAACCCAGTTTGAGGTGATTTGAGCTTTATGACATGGACAGGGAAGATGTGGTCATAAAGGGATGGATATGGTCAGCAACAATACTCAGGTATGGGCTGTGGCATTGACATGATGCTCAATTGGTAATAATGGGCCCAAAGTGTGCCAAGAAAATATCCCCCACACCATTACACCACCACCACCACCAGTATGAACCGTTAATACAAGGCAGGATGGATTCATGCTTTCATGTTGCTGATGGCAAATTCTGACCCTAACATCTGAAAATTGCAGCAGAAATCGAGACTCATCAGACCAGGCAACTTTTTTTCAATCATCTACTGTGCAGTTTTGGTGAGCCTGTGCGATTTGTAGACTCAGATTCCTGCTCTTAGCTTACAGGAGTGGCACCCCATGTGGTCTTCTGCTGTGCTGTAGACCATCTGCCTCAAGGTTGGACGTGTTGTGCGTTTAGAGATGCTCCTCTGCATACCTCGGTTGTAACAAGCAATTATTTCAGTTACTGTTGCCTTTCTATCAGCTCGAACCAGTCTGGCCATTCTCCTCTGACCTCTGGCATCAACAAGGCATTTTTGCCCACAAAACTGCTGTTCACTGGATATTTTATCTTTTTCAGACCATTTTCTGTTAACCCTAGAGATGGTTGTGCGTCAAAATCTCTGTAAATCAGCAGTTTCTGTCTGTCTGTCTGTCTGTCAGTCTGTCTATCTGAGCTACATCAGAGACATAGGTGAGATTACTGTTTCCTTGTTTAGATATCTCCATCATGTCAGGCCCTCTCATATGACGTCAACTCAGACAGTGCGTTTGCTTCTCTCTCCACACCTCACCTCATCCTCAGATTACCACTGAGCGCCAAAGCAACTCATGCAAAGAATCACCATAGGTAATCAATAGGGAGGCTTTTAACCTGCGGCCATCTCCTCAGATGGGCCTCCACCCATTGTGGTTATACTGCGGGATTGATGTCAGTGCATCTATGAATAGACCCTTCGACAGTTTTAAACTAATTCAATTACGATTTCTCGCTTTTTTGGCCCCGCTTTCTCTTTCGCTCCATGGAAAACAACCGTAGCAAATCCAATCTATAGTGCAGGGATGGAGGGCAAATCCCTGGATGAAAGGCTGGGTGCACTCGTTACACTGGAGAGAGTGGAAAGCTTACACTGTAATCCCATCAGGAAAAAAGCACTGGGGGAGAGGTCAGCGCTGGCCCCAGAGACAATATCATCCAAAATAAACTTCCTGATTAACACCTGGACACTGAATGTCTTATGAAATTTCAGCACTACTGCTTAAGGAGATTTTTTATTTCATTCACCCTCAGGCTTCCAAGTTGTAAATTATTCAGTAAAAAAATTGCAGAAGATTTTTAGTTGAAACTGTGGTCCTTTGTGATTCATTAAATGATTTTTGAAAGTATATATATATATATATATATATATATATATATATACATACACACACACACACACACACACACACACACACACACACACACACACACACACACACACACACACACACACACACACACACACACACACACACACACACACAGTGGGGAAAATAAGTATTGAACACATCAACATTTTTCTCAGAAAACATATTTCTAAGTGTGCTGTTAACTTGAATTTTTTCCCGGATGTTGCAAACAGCCAAAGAAAGCAACCCTCTGCCCTTCGTCATTGTAAATTAATATATGCTGCTTTAGTCCAATATCTACATTATCAGGATGATGAAGATGAAACCGGGGTGGACATTGAAAGGGCACCTAGTTTACCCCTTTTTTCAGATTTATTATGAATCTTTTGTGTCTCCAGAATGTGTCTGTAAAGTTTCAGCTCAAAACAACCATCATATTTTTTATAATACCTTTTATAAGATTCTGTTTTATACATTTTTGCACTGGGTGACGGTTTTGATGTACTGCACTTTAAAGCTAGTCATCCTTGCCCACCGCTTTTACGTGCCTTTCTGCGTGCCCTAACTTTACCAATGAGTATTTGATGCATTTGCTGTGTTAAGTTACAACGATAAGTTGTTACACGCAAAGTTACACGCTCACAAACAGACACACACAGACACACACACACACACACACATACCCAGCCAGGACACGATACGCACATACATACAGACAGCATGCGTTTAGCTTTGCACTCTTTTTGCACGCAAATGTGACAAGGTTCAGTTTAATCTCCACTGCTGTGTGGATATCTGTTATTTTAGTGTACAAAATAAACCTGATTTAACGTCCACAAACCGGGATTGAAGCGTCTTCTTTCATAGTTGTTCAAACACGCGGCTGTGCTGGTGAAGTAAAGCTGAAGTAAATCGCTGTAATTCATTACACACATGCACTGTTTTAAAACAATTTAAACTTGTGAAACTCACTCTTGATTACATTTGATGACGATTGATGATCATAGCAAACTGAACAGACCTTTTATTCCCGGTTGCTTTGCACTCATCTTCTCTTGTTGATATGATTATACACGTGACTACCAGGACATGTTACACAGTTGTCAATCAATTTGGTGGGCGGGGGGACCGCACTCCTACGTCAAGTTGCAGTCGGTCTGAAAACCGCTCTAATTGGTCCACTGTTTTTATGTTGTTATATTGAAAAAAAAAGGACTCTGTGTTTATCACCCCAATATGACCGCCTATACGCTATACCTACACATATGTCTGTCCAAACAGCTTGAAAAGTAGGTTTTTTTTTTACCATAGGTGCCCTTTATGCAAAACAATGATCCAAAACACAACCAAGGAAACTCTTAAATGGTTGCAGAGAAAGTAAACAGGCTAGATAATTTAGGATACTCACTAACATTGGTTTAAGGACATAGTGTAGTAGGATGAAGGCAGCACGGTGGCGTAGTGGGTCGCACAATCGCACTTACGCACACAAATTAGAATAAAAAAAACAAACTGGAATAAACTTACCTAATAATTATAATAATTATAAAAGTATTATATAAGATTAAAATAAAAAAATATTAAAACAAACAATATACAGTCAGAATTATTAGCCCCACTGAATTATTACTGTTTATTTTTTCCCCCAATTTCTGTTTAAGGGAGAGCAGATTTTTTCAACACATTTCTAAAC